TATATATACAAAAACTATAGTTTGTTGTATTTATGAAAATATAGAACAAGAATAAAGACAATCCTTGACATTTTTTTGCAATTTTACCTGATATAACAATATCGAACTCTTATGAAGAGGAGAAATCGCTCTTTGTCGCTCATCTCCAACGTGACACTTTTCAGCAAATGCTGTGTGCTTGTTCTGGAAGCATACAGGTAAGCCAGCATTGTTGGCAGTGAAAGCAAATGAATACGTCCACGCAGAATTAAAGTCTATATTTTCCTCCGTGACTTTTCTTTTTTTGGATATATCCATTGATAGTTTACAGAGGGCGGGGGTCTGAAAATCATGATTAGCCACCTGCAGGATTTGACTGCCTGTGGGAATAATTAACATATAAGATTCTGTTCATTCTTGCTTATAAATTATATTCTCTCTGAACACGTTTCTCTTTTTGGAGAGAGTCATGTGAGATATCTTCTATCAGCGCAATTTCCCTGCTCTTCTTTCCATTTCCTCGTCTCAGCCCCGTGTGTCACGGTGTGTGTAAACCTCGCTCGAATCAGGAAACTTGTCAGAATACCCATATTTGATTGGCTGAGCTGCATCACCTGATGTGATTTGCAATGCATTGGTCGGTGTGTTTCCTGCACCTCCGAACAAGTGCCGTAACGGCTGAATAAGAGGCGCCGTTTAAAAAATTTTAAACTCAGTGCCCAATATGTATAATTCCGAATTATCTATCGGTTTTTAGTTCCTGGGTCCGGATCCGGTGCGCCAGTTGGGGACTTCAGGGAGCCGCAACAGAGAGGCTCGCGAGCCGCAGGTTGCCGACCCCTGCTCTAGACGTTCCAACTTACTGTTATATTTAAAGACAAATCTGAACTTATCAAATGTTTTAGCAAAGTGTCTCTGAAGGAAGACTGGATCCATCCGTATCATATGCTAATTATTACTATTTCACACAAATGTCTTGTTGGATGACATGAAGCCATGAAATTTTGGACATGCATAAATGGAACCTGCAACTGCTCTGGTTGGTGGATGCAAATTCTGTGAACCTTTGTTCTTCCAACTAAAACTCCCTCCATCCTCTACTCTCCTCCTTTTGCAGCTTTCAGAGACCAAGATATTCACAGCTTCCAGTGTGGCGTCCGTCCCTCTGCCTCAAGAGAATGTGACCATCACCAAAGGACAGAGGTGGTTCACTTGTGCACTTCATTAGCTCGACTCATGTTTTCCAGGAATGGGTCGAGAGAATAATTACATTTGCATGGTTTCACTGTTTACTTGGCTAAATGTCAAATATTTTCTGGGTCAAGCTTCTCAATTATGAAGATTTGCTGTTTCCTTGTCTTTCACTATAGTGAACTGAATATTGTAGTGTTTTGGGCTATTGGTTGGGGAACAGTATTGTAACGATGTCACCTTGGAAAATTATGATGGACATGTTTTACTATTTTGATTAATACACTAAACGATTAGGTAAGAAAATAATGTGCAGATTAATTAATGATTAGTAGTTGTAGTCCTAACAATGATATTTGTACTCGTGGTATAAATAAAGGTTCAGTTGACACAGATCACATTTCAAATGTCTTCTTGAATATGAATATTTCTGTTTTGCTACAGGATTGACCTTGCAGTGCTTCTGGGGAAGACTCCCCCATCCTCCTCTTCAGAGACAGAAAACCCCCCCATGGAGGCCACCCAGCCCCCATCCTTGTCCCAGTCACTGGTTTTTAGCAACTCCAAGCAAGGAGTGCCACTCTCCCAAACATCGTCCAGCACCCCTTACACCCAGCACAGCATGGTGAGACTCGCCATTTTTAAAGTTTATATCTCAACCACTTCCTAGCCACACAGGAAAGGGATAGGGCCATGGATATCGGGTCATAACTACGGCCATGTAGCACCAATTGGTTTTTTTTATTGTTTTGATAAGTGTCATAATCTGCCAACATTGCAGGTCAGCATGCTGAGCAAGGGTTTCGGGGATGTGGGGGACCCTAAAGGAGCTAGCACAGGGACCACTGGTTCTCAATTCCTGGAGCAGTATAAAACAGCCCAGGCACTGGCCCAGCTGGCAGCCCAGCACTCCCAGACCGGACCGCCAAACACAACCCCTTCATCCTGGGACACCAGTGCAGCCTCACTGGGACAGTACGGTGAGATGACATTCGACTGTAATTACTCTGATCTTCCCTCAATATCCCCGTGAGCATGTTAAGGATCATTCCATAGATCCTTTTTTTTGCTTTTAATGTAGGAATATCCAAACTGCTCTCACGGTTTCATTCCTAACTTTAATTTTCTTTTTCTTTTTACAGAGATGAAGACTCAGGCGGAGTCTGCGGTCCATGCGCCCTTTACGAAGCGGCAGCCCTACCAGGCCGCCACCTCAACCTCGTCCATGTTGGATGTTTTCCTGCAGGACAAAGGTCTGCCTCCTTCCTCCTCGTCTTCTTCCTTACCACAACAAACAACATCCTCATCCCATGTGGTGCCTCCGCCTGCTTCCAGTCTTCCCAAAATGGCAGCAGTTTCATCACTAGGTCAGCAAATTTCCCCAAGTTCCTCAGACGCCCATGGTTCTAGTCCACTGATGTTGCAGCAACACAAACTGAAACAGCAGAAGAAGAAGACTTCCATTTCATCAAAGGTAACTGAATTAAAAAAAAAAAAACAGCATATTTGAAATGTGATGATTGGATCTTTTTGTTTTTTTAAATTAAATTCTCCATGTAAACAAAAATGGCACATTTCATGGATGTGATGTGAAAATATACTCCTGGTTCTGGGATGGCAGAAAACATCCGTGGACATTTGTGCCGAGTCTTATAACGCTCTTCATCTTCCTCAGATTCCTGCGTTGGCGGTAGAGATGCCTGGCTCAGCAGACATCACAGGCCTCAATCTTCAGTTTGGAGCACTGCAGTTTGGGTCAGAACCAGTTCTACCAGACTACGAGTCCACCCCCGCCACCACAACACAGGCCAACCAGGTTCAGAACAGTCTCTACACTAGCCCCAGCAGGTTAGTGCATTAAAAATTCATATTTACACTTTTTTTTAGAGATGTGTTTTCACATTGAAATACGTTTTGCACGATTTATGCCATCTGTATTATGGCTGTAAATTAAGCAAGTATTTTTTTTCGTACGCAGCATTTAAGTACTGGGGGGGAATGATATATTTAAGTGCATGTTTTAGTCCCTAAAAGTGCTTAAAAACTAAAGTTGTGATTAGAAATGTTTGGGTCAGAACCACTGGTTGTTCTCTAAGAACACAATCTTGTCAATACCGTTGCAATCTGCAGTGAGTCAACTCCAGCTCTCTCCAACTCCAGTCAGATGGACCTGTACGATCAGAGAGCGTCCCAGACTCGCCGCTACCCTCCCTCAGCCTCTTCCTCGCCTCAGAAGGATATGCAGTCCAAGGTATGGCTAAAGATCCCCTCTTTGCTGAGACCTAGAAATGTCCCAAACAACGCAACATAAGAAGAAAAGAGGAGATTGAGGTAGAGGGCAGGGTCTCTGCAGATACAGACACCGCCACACACTTCTATCGGGTCATAAGAGATGATTGAGAGGGTTTATTTTTGTATCAGTCTATACTTAGAATTTTTAAGAAATCCTTGCTTATTATGCCTTATTTAAGAATGGCCTGTTTCCATAGAAACCTCTGATTTCACCTTCATTGTTGGTTTTACAGAATGGCTTCAGTTCAATGCAATCTGCACAATCTGTAGAAGGTAAGTGTCTATTTACATTTAATTTTTTTGTTAACAGCATTGTTGACGTTTTTCCTGATCACTCTGGGTTGGAATTTATTCCAGAAATGTCTCGTTTTCTAGCTGCAGCAGGCTCTGCAGTATCGGTCAAGCCGGGCTCGGATTCAGTCACGCCCGTCTCCAGCACGGGATCTTTGGGTGACGGTGGCTCTGCCTCCTTGTTGTCTACATCCAATCAGATGTCCCACAGTGGCCTGGGGCACAGTGAAGACCTGCCTCCGAGCACCCTCCCCCCTCCTCAACACAACAAGTAAGATGCTGCTAAATTTACATGCATGATAGAATAGGAAGTTAACCAGTATCTTAAGTTATGACCTCGAGACAGAGTCCTGCATCCAGTTGGGTAACCTGCAAAAAAACAAAAAAATCTATAGATTCGAGTGCCAGGGATAAAACTGAACTGAATGCGGGTGGGCAGTCGTTGAGAACAAAATGTTTAGTCCTTAAAAGTTCACTTCAACCAAAGCACACCTGCATGCAAGGCCCTCATTTTGTCGATAATCGGTTAACGAGGGTCTGCTATCTTTCAGGAAAAGAAATTGGCATCCCTAGCCTCAAGGTTGATTTGTATTGTGAAAGCCTGGCCCTGATTGTGCTTGCCATCGCGGCATCAAACGCAGCCAGTGAAGCAGACTTCTCCTTGGCTGGATTTGTGATTTAAGAACGGAAAGCCCAGTTTAAACCAGGTACTGTGTGTTTAATCATGGGTCAGACAGCAGGACTAGTATAAATGGATGAGGATGGGACCGGGTCCAGTTTTGACTTGCTGGTAATGGGCCTCTTCCTGTACTGCGCTTTGTGTGTGGGCGGGTTCAGGTTTGCAGAACTGGACCCGTGCAGGACTCTGCCTCTGGGGCAACCCAAGTACCAGTACATGTGATGTAATTCGGAGATAGTTGCGACGTGCTCTGAATCTTCCTGTATTTTTACAGCTCTCACCCATCACAACAGAACAGCCACCTTCAATCTTCAGTCCGGACATCCAACTCAAGCCTTCTGGTAAGCAGGTTCTGGTATAAATACAGGAATATACGTATAACCAGTCATGTGGATGAAGCATAATGTCTTCTGCTTTTTTTTTTTTTTTTTTTTTTTTAATAATGTGACCCTTGAAGCAGATTCAATGTTATTTTAACCAGACAGAAACCATGAGTTGTGTGTACATGCTTATGCGGGACAGTGCATCTTTATCCATCTGAGCCTTTTTAAAGCTGCATTTCCTGTGATGGCAGATGGACACATTAGATGTCCAGTCACTCTAATGGAAATGTAATCTCATCAATCCTAACGGCATCTTTCTGTCTTCTTCCTTTTGTCTCTACAGCATCCCAGCTTAGACGGTGACTCAAGCCTCCACTCCTCCTCCTTCCCTTCCTCAGTATCAGCCGTACCGTCATCAGTTGCCTCCTCATCCATGGTGGCTGCTGCGCAGGTGTCACTAGGGGCCCCTCAGGCCTCTATGGGCCATGCCACAGTTTCAGTCCCCTCCGGCCTCGGCCACATCAGCAGTCTGGCCATGGGCCTCAACACGGCCTCCATGTGTGTCCCAGCTGCTGCTGCTGCTGCTGCTGCTGCAGCAGCCGCCGCTGCTTCACTCGCCGCAGCGGCCTCGGCCATTCCTCCTTCAGCATCCTCACGCAGCTCTGCGGCATCCTCAGGTTAGATATAAACACAAGCACAAACATGAAAAATACACCTTGTGTTTAGTGGCGTAACTGTCGATCGGTGATCCGTACGGTTCCCCTCCCCCCCCCCTCACGGTTCGGCAAGCGCGGGAACCATGCATTACACGTTAACCATGACAGTTTGAAATAAAGTTTTACTGACGATCATCATCCACCAATATTCAGTAAAAAATGCGACCAGGACATTGGCATTCATGCTTTTCTAGTCGCCGATCTCTGATAATGTTACATTGTAAATGACTAATCCGTGTTTAAATTGACAGGATAGCTAGTTAACGATAATGACGCCGCTAATGGCCAAGGAAAGAAAGTTCTGTAAATTATAGCGGTATCATGTGTTCACATGTAATCCCGTAAGATGTAGTGTTGGTGAAGGAGGTGTTTCACAACAGCATAAATGGATATTGGAGAGGGATTTATGACCTGTTGCACTAGCTCTAAGCAGCTTATGATACATCATTAATACTAATATTGACAAGTTTTATTTTTAATCCATATCTATTGCCTAATCATTTGAATTATGTGTTTTTATGAAGAAAACACTAGCAAAGTAAAAGTACAACATTTAGAATTGTTGGTGGTTTACACTGACTTCAGAGCAGTTGACGGTTGGACGGTTGGGAAAAAATATTAGTCTGGAACCTTGTCGACCAGCTGCTATAATCTGACAACAAAGGGATCTTTATCTGCCAATATGGAACAGCTATGCTCATCAATAATTAAAAAAACGTGATCAGGGATCTCTAAAAGTTATATTTGCTCTTTGCTTTTACAATCCGTTGCACCACTATATGTCCTTATTTATATCTGTTGTAATGAGACTAGATATCTTCTTAGATTTTGTATATGGTAATGTGGCAAAAGTGTTATCACTTTACTGTAACGCAGCATTTAAAAATGGTAAAAGATGTCATTTTTTGAACTTACCAGAACTTAGCTGTTCTATTATTTGCCTTTACTCACATAGTCGCTACACTCTGGTGATTATTTATCAAAAACCTCATTGTGTAAATATTTCTTAAAAGTACTAACGGTCAACATTATCGACGATATCAAGGTATTCGGTCAAAAATATTGTAATTTTCTCCATTTTCCAGCCTTAACTTTATTCTATTAATTTTGGTTTCTAATAGAATTATTTTGATTAGCATGTTGGGTTCGCTATGCGCGTACATTTTACGACCACTAGTGTCTGCTTCCAAGCGATGTGAGCATGATGGCGGGAATCTTGATGTTTGTATCAGTCCTGCCGCCATTGGCTTACAACCATAAGATAATCGCCTACGATAACGACATCTCTGTCACTGAAGAACACAAAATGCCTAAGACAAAGTGGGAATTATGTATTTGTTAACTGCGTTGTGGTTAATTTTGATCAAGTAAAAAAAGGTGAGGCCAGAGGTTTGTTTGTGACGTTGAATAGAAGAATTGGTGAGCAGATGCCGTAGTCACCATGTCGAGTTAGAAATGAGCCTGCACAGCAATAAATCTAGCGAGTGCCCCCCCCCCATCGCCCACTTAAAGCAGAAAGATCAGCATTAATAAAATATACGACAGGCTACATTATTATCATTATTGGCTCTGTGACTGATTCTCACCGTCCTTTTAACGAGCTGAAAGACCTTCACTTTGATTCAACAAATAGCAGGTTGTGTCACTTTCTACACATTTAAACATTTGAGTGAATCCCCCCCGGACCCCACCATCTGGCTACACCATGCCCTTTTGGAAAGCCCTGCCAGTTTAAGCAACAGTTAATAGATTTGTAGTATTGGCTTGTTTGGCAAATTTAATACAATTATGTTTGACTTACAGGGAAAGCGCCTCCAAACCTGCCACCTGGAGTGCCCCCTCTACTGCCCAACCCATACATCATGGCCCCTGGACTACTGCACGCCTACCCTGTAAGTTCCTGCCAGCATCAAGTCAGTCTTTGTATAGTCTGAGCTTTACCTGTTTGGAGTTTCTGTTACATCATTTCTGTAGTAACATGGTTTTCTGACACATGCTTCGTTCAGCCCCAGGTGTACGGCTATGATGACCTCCAGATGCTGCAAACAAGAATACCGCTGGTGAGTTTTGTTTTATGAAGAGTCGTAAACTCCTGCAATAGAAACATTATGCACAAGTCGTACTTTATTGCTTCATGTCTATTATTTCTGTTTTATACAAAATATTTTTCTCTCCAGGATTATTACAGCATCCCCTTTGCAGCTCCCACAGCGGCACTGACTGGCAGAGACGGCAGCCTGACGAACAACCCGTACTCTGGTGAGCCAACTAACAATTGCGTCTATTAAAAGTTGAGCTTACTTTGTCTCTTCAGCAGTTAGCTGCATGTTGAAGAAGCTTCATGTTCTTAACTTATGAACAGTGGAACTTTTATGATTATCTTCACAATACACTTAAAGGGCCTTTTTTGGGGGGTTGGTGGAAACTGAGACTGGCAGGTTGACAGCGTACCCGTCTGTGGTCACACATGGGTTCTAACTTCCCACTCTGTCCTGTCGTCCTCTGTTGCACATATTCGCAGGTGACTTATCAAAGTTTGGTCGAGGCGATGCATCCTCCCCGTCCCCAGCCACCACGTTATCTCAGACACAACAGAACCAGACCCAGACGCATCACACCACACAGCAGCCCTTCCTCAATCCCGCACTGCCGCCTGGCTACAGCTACACAAGCCTCCCATACTACACTGGCATGCCAGGCCTGCCCAATACCTTCCAGTACGGACCTGCTGTGTTTCCGGTAAGACAACTTCTCCACAAGCTGGCTAACTTGTTGGCTTGCATTACATTCTTGCTCCCACCCTGAGGTTTTTAAAAGTATTGTGTTGTCCTTTTGACTTTCCTCTGGTGGCCCCCTCAAGACAAACTTTGGTTACGGCTTGCTGACATGACTACACATGCCATGGTTTTCTTTGTCTAGGTGGCTCCTACCTCGTCAAAGCAGCACGGTGTGAACGTCGGCGTCAATGCATCGGCCACACCCTTCCAGCAGGCTAGTGGCTATGGTTCCCATGGATACAACACTGGTGAGGCGCTAAACGCTATTGAAGCTGCAGTTTTGTTTTTTTTGGGTTGTTTTTTTTTTTTTGAAGGGTCATGCAGTTCCTGCTCTATAACCTGCATACCAGTAACTCTGTGCTGTTTCTCACGATGAGCCCATTGATTTCTCATTGGCGTTGAGTGCGTATTTCATTTGCGCTCTGCAGCGTCTACAAGCATAAATATGATGCTCGTGTAAAGACGTCTGTTATGCTCGTGTTGCTAACGGTTCATAACACATTGTTGAATGCTGATTCTCACTTGAACTGTGGACCTCAAAGTTAAATCAGAATGTTTTTAGATTGCGCATGATGAATATTTGAGGTTCAATTGTGTCCGATTATTGGAAATGCATCTGCACCGTGTGCCCAGTTTTCATTTCCCGTACACACAAGGAACATGTCTCAATAATGGAGCTGTTTTAAGATGGCAAGAATTTGTCTTGCCACTTCTTGTTTCTTGTGATGAAATATATAGGACTGTCATCCTACTGGATGGGAAAGGGGAAGCTGGGCTTGAACAGCGGCTCCTGGCTTTATCAATTTATTTAACAGAGGGGTTAGATTATCGTTCTGCTGTCTTCCATAGCTTGCTCTGCTATGGGGTTTGCACCAAGGCTTCACCTTCCACCACATCTCCTTAACATGGATCACCCTCCAATATCTCTTAAAATGACTCTCCTTGTAGCCCTTTTTTTTTTTTCCAGCAGTTTAATTTCGTCAGTTGCCTTCTGGTATCTACTCTTATTTTTCAGTGAAGCTGTTTTTTTATTTTCATGCTTTAATACATCACATCAATATCCACCTTTGGTCACAACATGTGCAGCACCTATTCGTTCTAAGCTTCACCATCTGCTGCTTTCTGCCATCACCCAACTCAAGCTCCCTCCCCTCCCACACACAGAACCTGCCTGCCCCCTCACTTCCCCCACCTCCTCCCCACAGACTTGGGTCAAATAGTATTTGCAAATGATGTTGGCGTTGTTTCTGATCTGCTTGTTGTAACCAGATTGACCGGTTTTGCCAGAAAGGACAATACATTTGGTGTTGTAGTTCAGATACTTGCAGTAAAGTATTTGGATGTCAGTATAATGTGTTTTGCTAGAGGACACCATCTGTATTGTCACAATTTGGTAAAACCTGTCCATGTGGTACACTGTTTCAGACCAACGCTATCAATTCTTTGTGAATGCCATTTGAGCCAGGTCCGTTTCCCCTGCCTGGTGTGTCTAACGCTGTGGGCTGCGGCTGTGTGTCTGACTGTTGCAGGCTATGAGGATGTGGGCCAGGCTTCAGTGAGTGGGGATTTCTGTAAGGGCGGATACGGCACTGCCGTGGCCGCTGCCGCTTCTGCACAAAACAAGCCAGCCAGCTCTGTCACCGGGCCGGGAGTCGGTGAGTGCCGCCACCTGCCAAAATATAGAAGGGGGGAAAAAAACCCTGTCCCTCCCGTCTTCCTCCTTGTGTCACCAGCCATCCTTCTCCCACTCTTTGCTCTGGTTCCTTTGCCTCATCGCTGATGAGCTGCGCCTGTGGGAAGACCCGTCACACTACATCCGCTTTTAGACCGTCCAATGCAGCCTGCCTCCCGTACTAGCCTTGTCTGCCACTCTGTCTGTTTAGTGTTCTCCCCCAGGGCAACTCATCATCAATCCAAATGTTCTTTTTATATTCTTGACATTTATGCTATGTAATTATTAGATTTAGAGTCAAAACTGTGGCCGGTCACAAGGGCTGTGGCTGCCATAAACTGATGAGTTGCTCTGGTTAATGCCGTCCCATTGTCCCCTCTGTGTTGCTAGCGCTTCACTCATGTTGTCATTGCTGGCATGGTCCATCTCCAGTATCGAGTTCACTGTCCTGTAGGTTACAATCCAAGAGAGATAGGTTGGCAAAATGTCCTTGTTACTTGTAAAATACTGCTGTGCTCTAAGAGCGAGAGTGTGTGTGTGTGAGAGAGAGAGAAGACACCGTTTGAAGAAGCTGCAGCAGCATTCACACTGATACTCTTGTGAATGGTACCTGACTGAAGACTAAGTTGCCTTGTAAAGGGCGCTTGAGGTTTTGATCTAAAGTGTTTCTGCCGTAATCTTTGGAGTCTGTATTGTGGTATTTCTGTGACAATCTATATGAAGAATGTGTTACCCAAACCAAACGATGAAGGAAATGGCACCATTTTGACCTCTAACTGAGGGATAATTATTTCTTTAGAAATACGACGGATCTATTTCATAGTACCCGTCAAGAGTGAGTTCTTCATTATATTCAGCTATGCTGTGTATTGTTTTGTTTTTTTAACCTAGTAACATTTTTACAACACTTTCAGCGCAGTCTGAATCAATGCTATCGGATTAATGCAAAGACTACAGTGGCACACAGGGATGGGCATCTCTCGTGCTGACAATGTGCTTTTAAGGATCCAACACATCACTGATGCAGCCTGTAGAAGAACTCAAACCACTCTTCATTAATATCATGTTGCAGCTTACTGTGGTTTTCTATCAGTTCCATGGCTTCAGATGCGCCAAATATCACATTAGCATCATGCCTCTTTCTGTGACTGTCATGTCTTAATAAAGCCATAAAATTGATTCATGTAACGGACTGAATGACAAAAGTAACTCACTTCAGGGTGAATTCATCATGTGATCATGTGATCAGTCTTCTTGCTCACAGATTGTGACAAAACATGTCAGGGACTCAAAGACACGACCATTTTGTTACGTGAATGCCACTTGAACTCAGTCTGATTAGAATCAGTCTTTCATGTCCATTTGGTTTTTTTGCACACCAGTTGACCTTGTTCTACATCTTTATGGCGATATGGGGGGTAACAACCACAGCAGTAACCACCAGATGCTCTACTGTGGCTGACTGATGCACTGCGACACCATCTCCCTCTCTTCCTCTTAATTTCATCCCTCTTCATCGCCTCTGCTGTCCTCAATACAGGGAAATTCTGCTGAAATCATCTATGAACTTACGCTGACATAGATGTTCATACTCTATATTTCCCAGGAACCTCGTTTCTTCTAAAGCCATAAGATTTGTCTTGAATTGGAGAAAATGTTGACACAAATATAGAATTATACAAATAAGATTCCCTGTTGGCACACCATGTAGCAATTGTGCTGGCTAGAATCTGAAAATGGCTGAGCATGGTTTGTTTGCTGGGTGTTTCTCAAGTCCCCTTAACATGCCCACTTTTTGGACTAATGTTGTCTCCTCTGTCTCTGCAGGAGTCTCTGTGACATCAAGCAACACGGGGGTACCAGATATTTCAGGGTCTGTTTACACAAAGACGCAGGTAATTACAGATAATACATATTTCAAGAAGAGGACTTTTTGCAGATTGAATCAAGCCAAAACATGTCTGTTCTTCGTGTCCCTTCCTCCAGCAGTCGTTTGAGAAGCAGGGTTTCCATGCCGGCACTCCAGCGGCTCCGTTCAGCCTGCCCTCGGCTCTGGGGAGCGGTGGACCCATCAACCCCCCGGCGGCTGCCGCCTACGCCCCAGCCCCCTTCATGCACATCCTGGCACCGCACCAACAACCCCACTCTCAGATCCTGCACCACCACCTGCAGCAGGACGGACAGGTAGCGTACAGCAGGTCGCTTTCACACCTTCAGTTCGGACCAATAAAAAAGATCCTTAGTTGCCTTTTTTAGATCTGGTTCGTCTTGCTTTCAACCAGTTTTTTTTTTTTTTTTTTTTTTTTTTTTTTTTTTTTTTTTTTTTTTTTATTTATTTTTTTAAACTATCACAAGATCATATAGACTCACAGGTGACTCCTTCATTGGACTGTTTTGGTCACTGTTGTCTGGCTTCATCAACGTAAATCAAATTCTAGTGACTGACAGCAGATCATGTAGCACTTCACATGTTTATCTTCTCTAGTGTCAAAGAGCTCACTGAGAAATATTACCGCATCTGTCAATAATAATGACAAACGGGAAAAAGTTCCTGTTCGGGCATTGTATTTTACTTGCTTTTAATGAGGAACTGCTAGAATACACAGCAGGGCACAACCTCAACATGCCTGTTTTACTGCTTTCAACCTACTGTTGCATCAGGGAAAATCCCTGCGCCCAATCCCGGAAGTATATAAACGTCGAACAAAAAGTTCGGAAATTAGTGTTTGGTAGATTATTTCTCTGTTGTAACAATGCTTCTTGGCAATAAGTGTTATACCGTTGGAAAGCCTGTTTATTTACCTTTCAAACGGTGCCCCATTTGTAAGGATCATGCATTTCTGGGATGAGCAGCACAGCTGAGTATGTGGGTTGCGCCCATGAAAAATTTGCCAAATCTTCTCTGCCAATGCCAAACAGCTTATTCTGCTGTTGCTATCCACTCTTGTTTGGTGGATTGGACGATTGAAGTCTATCAGTAACAAGGAAGAAACAAGACATATTGGCCATTTAACAAACAGGAGCCTCAGTAGCGTGTGGAAGAACTAGGGCTGCACGATTAATTGAATTTTAATTGCGATCACGATTTTGGCTGCCACAATTAAATGAGCATGATCGTCGGCGATATTGACGTTTAAAATGAGTGCTCTGCTACATATCAAACCAAGCGTTTCCTCAACTAACAGTCAGCCAACCACCAGGGGGCGAACGAGATGGGAGGGGTCATACGCGCACCCTGCAGCGGCAGCCTCAAAAAAAGTTCTGTTTGCAGTCGACTCCGGTATTAGTAGAAGAGTAGAGAGACAGACAACAGAACAGAGAGCAGATGGTCACGGGTGTCGTGTGAAAGGTAAATCAAATGTCAGGAGCACAAGGCGAGGAGCTAGCCCCTCAAAGGATCATCATCCGTTGTCTGGAAGTTTTTTGGATTTAGGGCAAGTGATGTTAACCAAGAACAAATCATATGCACAGAGTGCGTTCGAGTTGTCTGCGCCGCATAGCAATACAACTAACTTGTTCAACCACCTGAAAAATCACCACAAACCACAGTACGACGAATGCATTAAGACCAAAGCTAACGTTACCTCACTGAATCTCCGTCCATGTCCAACGTCAACCCAGAAAACCATAACAGCGACCCTGCATAGCGCGACAGCCTATCCATCCACCTCCCAAAGACACGCTGAAAAAAATTAATGAATAATCGTGATCTCAATATTGATCAAAATAATCGTTGTCATCTTGGAGGATGGAGTTCGGTCCCAGACTGTGGAGAAATGGGATTGCCACTGGTTGCAGAATCTCATCTCGATATCTCTCTGCATTGAGATTGCCTCCAATGAAGACGAGCCTCGTTTTTCCAGTGATGGAGATGCCGCCCCACACCATCACACTGCCTCCACCAAAAGGTGTTACTCTTATCGGTGCAGCAATCAGCATAGCGTTCTCCCCGTCTTCTCCACACTTTGACCCTACGCTCCAACTTCCTTAGGCAGAATCTGGACTCATCGCTGAACATAACGTTCCTCCACATGTTCAGGTTCCAGTGCAGGTGTTGCCGACACCAGCACAAACGAGCCTGACGGTCAATAGCAACAGCAGAATAAGCTGTTTGGCATTGGCAGAGAAGATTTGGCAAATTTTTCATGGGCGCAACCCACATACTCGGCTGTGCTGCTCATCCCAGAAATGCATGATCCTTACAATTGGGGCACCGTTTGAAAAGTAAATAAACAGGCTTTCCAACGGTATGCAATTTATTGCTAAGAAGAATTGTTACAACAGAGAAATAATCTACCAAACACTAATTTCCGAACTTTTTGTTCGATGTTTACTTGTTACCATCGTTACAAAATTAACTTGCATAAAATGTCCTGAGGTTTATCTAAAGATAAACTCTGTCCTCTCTCACAGAGCGGCACCGGACAGCGCAGCCAGAACGCCTCCATTCAACAGAAGTCTCAGATCAACAAGTCGGCATACAACAGCTACAACTGGGGGGCAAACTAACATCAGCTGTCGGCCCTCCCCCCCCACGCTGTTGACAGAAGCTAGAAGGGGGGCTCATCACTCCTTCCGCAAACAGTCTCCACATATAAACTCCCCCTCACCCCTCTGCAGAGATTCCCTACCCAGTCTCTTGGCCCAGCACTCCTGCAGCTCTGACTGCGGTCAGAGGAGGTGCTGTGCCGAGAGAACCAGCACTATAATGATGCATGGATGGGCGGGAGGGACAAAAGGGGCTTAGAAGAGAGGGGAGATCGGAGCTAAATGGTTATAGAAATACACCGTCAAGAGGTGAAATATTGAGTGTTGGGAATTTGTATTGTGTTAATCCCCCAGCCTCACCCACTTTTCTTTGACTTGTATGTAACATAGAACTGTTTTCTAAAAGAATGAAAGAACGTTTCCTGTATGGTTGTTTTTTTTGTTTGTTTTTTGTCTTCCCCCTCCCCTTTTTTCTTCTTTTTTCTTGCAGTTGGGGAGGACTGAAGTAATATCTAAAGGTGGGGGGGACAGGCTGGTTTTGTATTTCTCACCCTCGACTCCCCACTACTTCATTTTTTGGTGGAACACAAAATACCCAAACACATAAATTAGCTTAATTGCTGTTGAATGTTTTTTTTTAAATTTTTTTTTTTATGTCATTTTAAGTTTCAAGAAACAATTCTCTAAATTGGTAGAGTTGTGAAGTTTATTTTTTACCAAATATAGATATATTATATATAAAGACGTATAAGCGAGCTCACTGGCTTGGACTGTGAGGAAAGTGTTTGTCATGTGACTGCGTGCATGTTTGTACACACGGGGGCTGTGGTTGTGTACTGTGCTTTGTTTTTTGCCTAGCACAGAATTTTTCATTATCCAACACTTGTACAGTAACTGTTCCCATGAATTATAAATATGTTGCATTACGGCCCCACCTATTCTGCAAGAGATGTTGAATGATTTCCAAGGCCAATACACACCCAATCTGCCTTCCAGTGTGTTTCATTTTATTTATTTTTTTTTTAGGCCCCCCCACCTCCTCCCTGCTCCACCACCTGTCTCCCATTGTAAGGAAACCTGCAGCATTGAATACCGATGGACAACATTGTACTATGGTTTTTTTTTTGGTTTTTTTTGTCAGTGATTTATTTTTTTCTTTTTGTACTGTGCGTTTTAAAAATTTAAATGGATAAACTTGTCTTGTACATATATAAAAAAAAAACTAAAAAAAAAGCACAAGTACTGTAGTCCCTGTTTGTTCGATGACTTTCTCCTTTACCTTCTCGTAATTACTTGCAGACTTGTTAGCTTTTTGTTTCATTATTTTTTATTTTGTAAAAATATATGAATATTAAGTAAATAAACAAGACATTTTCATCATTTTGGATGTGAATGTCTTGTTAGAAACAATTTGTTTCTCCTGTGGCTTGGCCTTAATTCATCTGACAGTTTGAAACGTTAAAGTCACTGATACTTCATATCAGGGGAACAATGAATTGACAAACGCAGTAAGAAGCAGTTCATCCAGTGAAACCATTGAACTCGAGGCTGGACGGTTGGTGTCTGTCGGAGGCCCGAGTTACCCAACAAACTCCAGGGGATCAGCACTGCACTTCTCCAGGCAAGACTTGGATGCCTTTTGCATCTATAGAACCTGTTCTACAGTGTGGTTGTCAGCAAACTGTCAAACAGGTTGGTCTCTAGCTACATATCTAGGATGCCACCATTTACATTTCCTTAAAATTGTTCCAGTTGATCATGTCAACATACAGCCATGCTGCTGGTCCTTACAGGATATTACATACATGTCCTGTTTTCCTGAGGTGTTGTAGCTTGTCAAGTGAAACTCGGTACGTTTTGTCAAGTAGGTATACTGTACTTAAGTATTTCTGTTTTGTACTATTTTATACTTCACCACATTTCAGATGGGGAAATTTTATTTTGTTTACTTTTTTAAAATCTAGTACATTTAAACATTTACTTAACAGGCTTTGATTTGTATTTTGTGGCCATTTTTTCTTTTCCTACTCCTGAAACGCTTTAGGACGTGGACTTGACTACATTTTAGGTGACCTCGTCACGGGTCAGCTCATTTCTTTGGAAAAATAACTTCCAGATAAACTCCTGTTTATAAAGTCAAAATGCTTAATTATCCCATTACGTCATTTATTTCCCAACCATCTCACAAAATAGCCTTCGCACTTTACAAACAGGATGAACTGCTGTTACCCTGGTGACTGACTGGCGTCATAATGCTCGTTGGAAGTTTTCTCACTGGTGATGAAACGCCGTTGCTAGGAAACAGCTGCCTGCTTTGACGTCGCAGACGCTTCAACAAGCGGTAGTAATGAAAGTATTAAGCTCCTTTACATATTTATACTGCAGAAATACCCACACGTTGCAAGTGAAAATGTTACATTTTTTACAAATGAGTGTCATCGGCAAAATGTATTTTGTCAGCAGAATCGCCTCCGCCATAATGTCTTCATTTTATTACTACGGATGCATTAACATGTAACGCAACCTTTTAGTATAAGGTGGCTAATTAAGATGGGTAGCAATCAATAACATCGGATATATTTTTTCAATTAAAATTTGAATTGTTTATATCCTTCAACGTCTTATGTTTGAATCATTACCACTTAAAACACCCGCACACACATCAGCTTTTAAACTCCATAATCCTGGCTGATTCCCAGCAAGCGGCAGAGAGCGTGCAGTTATTTCTCCTGCGCATTTCTTCTGATATTTACAGTAACGTAGCGTTACGACTGATTGCGTAATTCTGAAGGATCTGGAACACTTTACGGCACTATTGACAACGGAAGCTTACTCCAGCGGGTGTCTGTTTTTTTAGTTATGAGTTAGTTTTCTACAAAAGCTGTCGCTAAATGAGTGTTTTCGACTTATTTCGCGGATTCTTCGGAGTACCTGGAGGTCATTATCGTGACCGAAGGTGAGTTCATGGAGTAAAAGTCGAGTAACGTCACACAGCTGTCACTCTGAGATAAGCTAACGTTATCAGAGAATGTTGCTAACTCTCTAGCTACCTGCATTGCAAGCTGTTGCGTTCGTAAAGTAATAAAACGGCTTAAGTTACAAGATTAGTGTTTCTCAGCCGCAGTGACCACAGGGGTCCCTCAGCCGACATGGCTGCTGTTTTATTTAGGCTAAGGGTGACCTCGGGATTAATACGATTGAGTACTTTAAGGTCTATTAATGTAACGTTAACATGTTGCTCACTCGACATAACGAACAAACCCAAAGCAAGATAGCATTGTTAGTCAATTTACATTACTTCCCTGAATAACTATCTATTTTACTTACCGTAATATTTCAGGGACCCCTTCTTTGATGCTATGACTCATGATGATGACGACGATGAAGAAGATGATGAAGAAGATGGATTCTCCTATGATGGGGACCAGCAGGACCCTTTTGACGGTGCCTGGAGGTTTGGCTTCAGTGTTGGCCCCGATGGGATGAAGATGCAGGAGCCGCCGCCGGTGTTTGGCCAGGTCCTCAGGGAGATGGAGGAGATCTTCTCCCAGCTGGGCCGCTGGGACAGACAGCCAGAGTCTGGACACTTTGGTATGAAAGCTGAGCCATGATCAAGTCCTTTACCATCTCATGTATATTGCAATGGTCACTTGTAAGTTCAGCCTGTCTCCCCCTGTTGTTCTAGATGTTCCCAGTATCATGCCGCCACCACCTCGGGGCCGAGCAGAGAGGGGTGGAGGGGGATCTGGTGAGAACCCCCTGAGAGACTTGATGCTCAAGTCCCCTTACAACAACCCACAAGGACCCCGAGCAGGGCCATCTAGAGGGCCCAGAGGTGATGACCACCCATCTTATGAGTCACCAGACTTTCCCAGCTCGCCATTCTATGGCTGGACCCCATTTTCAAAGGTGCATAAGATATTTTCTGACACATTTTCATAAAGGCTTTGTTTCTGTGGCAATATGAAGTGCTTCAGTTTACCGTTGTGTATCGACGTTCTCGTGGTGTCTTTTAATAGTTTAATGATATTTGGAAAAGAGGACCACACAAATCTTCAGAGGAGCGCAAAGAAGACAGGGGTGGGTGATATTTTTAGTCTTTCAGCAAAACAAATAAAGTATATTACTTTGCTCTGTTGTCTCACTGATTTCCCGTTCCCATCCAGATCTGGACTCTGCAGTGTCCTCTGGGGGCTTGGATCAGATTCTGACGCCACCTGCTGGTCAGTTACCGAACCAGCCCAGAGCCCGCTCATTCTTCCAATCAGTCATAGTCACTAAGGTGGTGAAACCTGACGGGGTGAGAGAAACGGTTTACCTTGATTTTTAGTATTAATCGTATATATATTAATATGCCATCACAACATATTTTCACGTGCACAGTTCAAATGTCCCACTTTAGCCCAGAGGATGGTAATACTGCGGGGGTCTGAGTCATGATTCGTGCTAGAGGAAAACACCCTAAAAACTATTATTATGACCATCTATATCTTCAGTTGTAATCCCCCCTTTTTTTTTTTTTTTTTACCACTTGGCTGCGAGTTTAATGTTTTTGACTGTTGTGATGTCTGTCAGTCTGTAGAGGAGAGGCGAACAGTTCGAGACGGCCAAGGCCATGAAGAGACCACGGTGATCCGCTCAGGAGGTTCTGGTAGCCTGGAGGGACCGAACCATCAAACTGGACCTGTCATATCAGGTCAGTCTCTACATAATAGGTGTTGTTAATGAATTAATTGTTCAGGTTTTCAGAGTATTTTGCCTTAGCTACATTTAGCTCTAATGCATTCTTGTTTATATTTCAGGTGGTCAAAATCCGTTTTCGGACATGCGGGGTGATGACTCCCTATTCTTCAAGTTGTTTGGAGGGTTTAGATAACATGTAGAGTGGAGTATAGCTTTGGTGCCCTGAAAACATATCAGTCAATGAGTGATTTCCCCAAAGCTGTGAGTTTGCATATGTATAGTTTATATCTATATATGGACAGAACACTTCCACGACCGTCAGTTGCCAAAGTGAGCGTGTTGGATGGATTAGGATCTCTGGCCTGTATACGGTCACACTGTGGGGTTCCAACTCACGTAGATTAGAAGCTGCTAATCCTGACGACTAGTGATTTTAACAAATGACAACAATTCACAATTACATATTTTTGGGGGGGAATTGTCCTGTAAGAATAAGCGTGTATGGATGTGAGTGTGTGTGATATGTCAAATTAAAAAAGCTTAATATATTTACACAGTTGTTATTTGCCTGTTGTTTTAGGTTTAGGCAAACCACTTTAAAATATCACTAACTGGGAATCGAGCTCTGATCTGATTGGGTGAACCTCAGAGTAGATTGACTCACGATCACCTGAGTGATGAATATGTTCGTGTCTGTATATTTCTAGTTCTGCTTTGAGATGGTGATTTCACGACACCTGATAAAATTCTCTGTTAGATCGAAACGAACTGGAGGGAATTTCCAACATCACAACAACACTGACAGTGAATGCAGCTCGCTCTGTTCTTGTCGTGTGTTTTGCCTGCTGCCTTGTTTCTGCCAAGTCTATAACCGCCTTTATCCCTCTAAATTGGCATCAACCCTCCTCAGGTCCTTATCAGTTTACACTTCTTCTCTTTCTCAATCCTTCTGAAAAATGTCCGTTACAGAAAAGGCCATTTTATTCTCGAACATGTCAGTGTAACCTCTCTCAGGTTTGTGGTTTCCATGTGCTTCAGATACAGAAAGAATGTTGGAATTGTTTTCAAATAAAATGCAAAAAAAATAAAATCTCTTTCATGTGTGAAATATCAAAAGGTTTCATCGCTCTTCTCATCTTCTGGTGAATCTTCCTTGGTGAGGGGAGTCCAGATCGTGGGAGTTTTCCTTTGAAGAAGAGCACTTCACTCAACTTCAGAAGGAACTGTTCTTGTAAACCGTTTTCATAAACATTCAGGAATTCTACGGTGTGGTGCTCACTCTGGTATCCTCCCTCAGCTACTAACATAGTTGTGTTCCTGTGTGGACCCTTAAACACTTAAAAGTCATCAGTTCCCATTAACAAATTATTACATGTATACAGGTTAAGAAAAGTCGAGTTTAAACTCATCTTCTGTCATTACTTTACAGATCTTCATCATGGTGTCAATGATTTGTGTCTTTGTCCACTGATGTCATTGTGATCTGTGTACTGCATCTAGATTTGACTGTGGTAACAGAGTCCTGACCGGTAATCATTCAATTAAAGGTGCCTATCATTTTCTCACTCATCTAATCAGTTTAGTAGAAAACGCCTTTAAGAGAGAACACATGAACATTTGAACACCTTGCCTGGTTTTTAAGCCTTGGAATGTGCAAACAGAAGAGAAAATTAACAGAAGAGTTTGTCTTACATGCAGAGACACTCGTAAATAATTTTTATTTACTTCCAATGTTATCAGTTTCCCCCCTTAATTTGACATGGATGTTTTATCTATATGTTACATTGCAGCCACTCGTATTTCTCCATGAGCACTTCTGTTGATTTAAGTACAATTGATCAATAGATGCAGAAAGTGCATTCCATTCATGCAGGGTGCACGTAGTGTGTAGTATAATCATGCCCTTTGTAGTCATTTTAGTTTCCTCTTCATTCACATACTTTCTCTTTTTTTCCCTTGTAGAAGGGAGATTATCTTCACAGGAAACCTTGGGACAAACTTATCTTACAGAGGCTGGACCATAAAATATCTTATGTGAGATGTGACTTTATTCTGCTTCACTTTGTTTATGATCTACAGACAAAGTGTCACTGTAATTAGTGTGATGATCTCTCGACCTACATGTTATGTTATGTCAGTTGCAGTGATTTACTCTACTTTTGGCACCCGTTGCTAAATCCAACAAAAACTTGGCTATATATGAATTGATGAACGCTATTATCTCTGTCATGACCATCAGAGCAGTGATTATTCTTATCAGAGATTATAGTGATTACTTTACGAGCACATGGTGCAAGCCAAGAATATCTTTATTGTTCTGTGGTAATTAATACAGATGCAATATGGCACTAAAAACAAGTTGTTACACGTAAATTAAAATTCAGAATGAATGTATTCATTTATTTATAGGAAGCATGTGTCTTGTCTTAGATGAAGAATGCTGAGCTGTACTGTGGCATAAACGGTCAGAGAAGAAGAAATATAACGACCAATCAAACGAGAACAACAATCAGAGCCAACTCCTGTCAGGTGAGCCAGAGTCAGGCCTGTTGGCAGGAGTCCAGTTCTGTGCAGTGAAGTACTTTCAATCATGTCTGCTGTGATTTAGGTATGAAGATGTCCTACAAAGTCAGCTACTCTCCTCCCCTGCGTGCACGCACACCACCGCCTCAGCCGTGCCATAAAGTGTGTGACGTAGCCTTCAGCCCCAGCATGAAAGGGCAAACTCTGCTCAGTCAGGCAGACTGTGCAGTGCTGTGCGGGTCACATCCACCTGGTGACGGCGTCTCGGCTCTGAAAGCTCACCTGTGGCCGGACGGTGCGGAGAAATACTCTGGGATGGCGAGGCTGCTGAGGAAATGTCAGATCACAAACCAACTGGTCAGAGAGTGCATGGCTGAATGCCTCGGAGTGTATGTCCTGATTGTGAGTATTATTTTGTGGATCTAAACGTCAGTTCATTGCATGAGACACTTTGGTAGAGGTAAGAGAGATTAATTACATGCGTATCATCTTCTGCATTTAATTGAATGAGCTGTAATCTAGAGAAAACAATGAATTTCTTCTCCACCAGTTCGTCCAAATTCTCACCTGATCAGCAAACTCAACATCAAGTATTTAATATAGTTTCCAAAAACAATAACATGCCTACTCGCTTGTTTTGAAGCAAATGATGAATCCAGACAATGGATAACTGAGGACTTTGGCCTGAAAGAGAGACAGACAGATGGAAAGAATGAATGAATGAGAGAGAGAGTGGGAGAGGATGGGGGAGGATAAAGAGCAAGGGTGGTGCCATCAGCGATTTGGAATGAAGCAGTGATGTTTGCTGGCTGCGTTTCTGTGGTTTTGTTGAATCTAAACTGTCTCACCCGTCGGGAGCAATGAGCGTTTTACAACACAAATCATAAAGCAGGTTCCTTAGCAATGAAGTTCATAAAACAGGAGATTACACCAAAGGAAACGATGTGTGTTCGCTAATCTGGGCCAGACCTTTCTGAACTTTAGTGTGAATTTTTATCTAAATCCAAGTTGCATCACATCTGTAATAGCCTACTTCATTTTTTATATCCACTGTAAAGTGCAGATTGTTATTATTTGTTGTTTGCTTTGTGTGCTCAGTCTGTTTTTGCACTCTGGTTGATATATTCCTGTAATACGGCTCTTCGTCTCATGTAATTGCAGCTGTTTGGATGCGGCTCCGTTGCCCAGGTGACCACAACTGAAGATAAGAAAGGGCAGTACCTGTCAATCAATCTGGGTTTTGCTCTGGGAGTAACATTTGGGATCTTTGTGTCTCGTGGAGTCTCAGGTAAGGGGCCGTATGAAGATTATGTTTCACTTTGTAAAAAAGCATTTCATCCCCTGGTTGAGCTGAAGACTAAGACTCCCAAAAGATTCAGACTATCATGCCTTCAGCTGTAAGAATAATGCCAAACCCTCCTCTGCCTCTAATAATGTTTCTACAATCACTAAACATGCGCACAGCAACAGAAATGCCAGTAAATAATAATATCACCTTTTGTTCATTCTGCAGGTCAAAACATCTTGATGGTTGATTCAATTTGCATGCAAAGAAATTATTGTTGTCACTTTCAGGAGGCACAGATCTGTTTGAATTATGAAACGTTTATTTCTTCTGGATTATTTTCAACCATGAGGTGCCCATCTGAACCCTGCTGTATCTCTGAGCTTGTGCGCTTTGGGCAGACATCCCTGGATGAAGCTGCCTTTCTACGTCTTCTTCCAAGTGCTCGGAGCCTTTCTGGCTGCAGCCACCGTTGGCCTGCAGTACTACGGTGAGTTTCAACAGTGATGACTGCCATCACAATCACATTGTATCTGACAAGACAAACATTACAATAGAAGTAAAATACATGTTGTATAGGTATAGGGGTAAAAAAAAAAAAAAAATGTTTTTATTGTCAAAAGACCAAAAAACCAACAGTGCATTGTTCCATCTCTCAATAATTTGTGGCATTCAGCTCCAAACCTATTCAATACTACTGGGGAAAACTGGTCACAATTATAGTTTAATCATTAAACAATTTCCAAAAACAGCTGGGCTCTGTAGTCTTTAGCAAATATTATTACAATTAGAGTAAATGGTACATTTGTTGGGGACTATTTTCATCCGTGGATTATGACACATTTGATGCTCCAGTTGATAGTTCTGGCAGTAGGACGTTTAGTATGAATTAAAGCGTGCTGATGGTCCATGTGAATCTGTGTGGGTTTTTGCATGCATGATGATAATGAGGTGTCTGCAGATGCCATCCAGGCCTACAGCAGAGGTGAGCTGACAACAACGGGTCCCACTGCCACAGCAGGCATATTTGCCACCTACCCAGCTGACTACCTCAGTGTGTGGGGAGGAGTCGTGGACCAGGTCAGACATCGGCACTCCCTTTCCAATCACCGTGAATTAAGACGATGAAATCTTTCGAATATGTCCAGCAAAATCACCAAATATAACCATCAGGTTTGAGAATCCTGACTTTCGTACCACTTTGCACACCTGTAGTTCAGTTCCAGTGTGTGAATCTTTTTCCTGTTATTTATTGAATCAGTCATTCTGCTCCTTGCTTAAATATAGGATAGGATGTGCACCCAACTAAGTGTCTGCTTGTACATTAACAACTCCCATGTCCTGCAGGTGATTGGCACGGCTGCACTGCTGCTGTGTGTCCTGGCTCTTGGAGACCGGGGGAACAGCTCCGTCCCTGATGGTCTTCAGCCCGTACTGGTGGGAGCAGCAGTGCTGGTTATTGGCATCTCGATGGGCTCCAACAGCGGCTACGCCCTCAACCCCGCCAGGGATTTTGGACCTCGACTGTTCACGTACATCGCTGGCTGGGGAGTGGATGTTTTCAAGTTAGTAGTTTGACTCTGGACATTCACATGCACTTTGGTTTGTGAATTTAACCCTTAGAGACCTAAATAGACCCGTTTTAGCTTTTTTTCGATTGGGGGGGGGGATCTCCCAGCAGGTCAACAGTATATGCCACATATGAGAAATATTTAAACACACCATTTATAGAATAGGTGGAAATAACACATTTATACTGTATGCAATGTGGGTTTGTCTGTAAAGGGGATTCTCACCCATAAAACCCATTTTATATTCAGATATCTTCAAGTGAGATGTCAAGGGACCCCTGTGAGAATACATCCATTCCAGCTTTCCCCTCTTCCAAATTTGTAGCGTTTTAGCCCGGTTCCCATCAATCTAGCATGACATGGTTGGTATTGATGCATGCCTTAGGTTGCATGCTTTAAAACTGAGCACGCTACTGCCTCTTGATTGTGTGTAACCCTTTACAGGGCTGGAGGTGGTTGGTGGTGGGTGCCCATAGTGGCTCCCTGTGTTGGGGCACTGCTGGGAACTCTGATCTACGAGCTGATGATTGAAGTCCACCATCCTCTCAGTCCATCGGAGTTACAGACCTCATGTCAGGAGCCCACTGAGGGCAAGACGGGGCTGGAGCTGGAGGGGCTGGAGCGAGACTGTGAAAAACCCACTTAGTGGTAAATGAAGCTGTGTCAAAGAAGTACAACTGTCACATATACAGTAAATGCTACTTTTGGTGTGATACCCATTGAAGCCGTCTGCGTAAATGTTTGTTACTGATTCACTGGAACAGGTAGATTGGTTCTGACAATAAGAAGTTTAGGTGAATGCAATAATATGAACAGTTCCCATTCTGTAAACAAAGAAGCTGCAAACACGGCTCTGAAAGCAAACTCTGCAGATGAACTGGCTGCGTGAGTCAACCTTCTCTTTTACACATTTATTTCAAAAACAGCACAAAAGTGTATGGCATTTCAGCAAGCAGACCACAACCATGGAAAAGAAAATGACATGTAATTTCCACTATTGAGCTATATAAATATGATATTATGACATATAAAAGATACAAACAAAACAAATAAAATCCACGTTTAGGCCTCCATCACGTGACCATGAAGGCTGTTTTTCAAACATACAAAAGAAATGTGAGTACAGCAAGCACTGAATCTGTAGATAAAAAAAGAACCGTCTCAACGAGATAAACGTTTGTATTCATACACATTAAGACAACACAACCCCCACGTATCTCCCTCTGCTTTGTAATTACAATGTATAGCTACCTCTGGGAGGAAATTCTTTTAAACTTTAAATTGGAGAAAAAAAAAAAAGCACAAGTACAAATACTATACGTATTCACATTATCATAGCAAGTTACTAAAACCAGAACGCTTTCTTTTAGTGTAATATGTATTTACATGGCAAAACGTACACATATACTACTGGCAGGAAGCCCGACCTCTCTTCTTCTTCTTCTTCTTCTAGCTTAACGATTAACAACATCACACATTGTTCACACTACACAGGTTACCTCCAGTAACCTCGTCTCCAAATGAAATGCCTTCAGAGATTCTCATCTCATATCTCTGTTGGAGGTAAATCGCACCACGACCGGTGCGATTTGACGCAACCGACTCACACAAATACCAACAGCAGTAATGTGTTTCGTATAAATAAATATTATAGCAACATAAAAATCAGTGTTAGATTCTCCAAACACTCCCCGTCATGCTTCAGATGTCTTGAGATCCGTTTTAAAAGCCTCTGGAGCTGTTAAAACCCATCTCACGCCGGAATAATGAACAAATGAGTATAAATACAACAAACAATAGGTTAAGGTACAAAAATATCGGCACTACTGTGAGGTGTACAGTGGGAGGTGTACGTATTTAAGCGTGTTACGTGGAAAAACAAACAGGTGGCTACAGTCAGTGCAGAGTGATTGAGATGGAAGGACGAGACGTATCAAACACAGTATGGCTGATATATAAATGCTTTTCTCAGAGGGCTGTTTGAGAGTCTTTCCATCACAGGTGTGTTCAGTTAAGTGACCAGTAACGTGATCAAACATGCAGTTACAATCGCACAGAAGAGGTGCCGTAGATTAGAGTAAAACTGTTTATGGTGGCTAAAAAAAAAACTGCACAGGAAGTTTCATCTCAGGATCAACATTCATATTCTACAGCCTCTCTCCCTCCGTCATGACCACTCGTTGGAGATGATCTGTCAGTCTCAGAAGACCCCTCCTCTCCTCTCTACTGGGGCTTGTCCGTCTTGTGTGCGGTGAGGAAGGCCATGCCGTGGGTCCTGAAGTGGGTGTTGAGGTCCGAGGCCTTATCGAAACGCCGGCCGCACACCTTGCAGATCAGATTCCCATCTCCGTCCTCGCCCTGCGCCTGAGGGGAGCCGCCGGGTGAGCCGTCGGGAGAGCCGTGGGCGCGCGGGGTGCCGCGGTCCGCGTCGCCGTGGGTGTCCCGCACGCGGTGAGTGATGAAGCGGTGCCTGCTGAGAGAGCCGGCTGACGCGAAGCAGACGCCGCACTGCAGGCACTGGAAGGAGGCGGTGTCGGCCCGATGCTGGGGAATGTGGCGCTGGAACTCCGCCCCGTCCTCGGTGGAGAAGCCGCAGGGGACGCAACGGAAAATGTTGTCTTCCTCCTCCAGCTCGTTGGGTGCCAACGATGTCGACGCCCTGGTTCTCTTTGCAGGACCTGGAGGACCTGCAGGACCTGCAGGACCCTCCTCGGCGTCCTCGGGGGCGTTTTCTTCCTCGTCTCCTGCCCTGCCTCCAGGAGGTCCGCCCTCACCATCCTGTTCTGAGGAGCTGCCTGGTCCTTCTCCCCCTGTGGCTGCTCGCTTCCTGGTCATGGGTCTTTCCTGAGGACCCAAAAAAGTAGCGAGAGACTAAACGTTTGCTTTATTGATGCACACGGCAAGAAAAGAAGTGCAGCAGAATTTCATCAGGAAAATACTTTCAAACTTTAACATTTCCATGTTTTTTTACATACTACATCCTAACTGTACATACAAATTATCATAATGTACTATTTCTGCAGTTAGAATACAAAAAATCTAACAGACTTTGCTGTTTTGTAATAAGTAAATGATGCAATATGTGCGTTGCAGTATGGAATTGGGACACAGCTTTAGTTGATCAGACATGAGCATATTTCAGTCCTGAAACAGAAAGAACTAAACTGCACCGTGTTGTCTCACCTGTCCATCTGTGGTCCTGTGATGGAGCCGGATATGCTTGTCCAGTAAGAACCGACTACCGAAGGTGCGTTTGCCTTCTGTGCAATATCTGAAAAAGAATTACTGGTTAAATCACATTTAAAAAAAAATTGATATTAAATGATCAATATTTGAGTGTTTTAAAATTCCGATTACAATAGTATGGCCAACAGTGAGAAGGAAAACAACAAAAAACATAACTTGCACACTCTTGACACAGATCCTTTAAATTTGTTTCATTGTTTAAGAATTGAGACCAAGAGACATACTGAGGCATTTTACAGTGTAAAATTAACTTCTCAGTACTCTGGTGGACTATGTGATGGTGACAGCCTTTCTGAATAAATTCATAAACTAGTTTTCAATTTGTTACTTATCAGCCAACATATACATTACACCAATATAACGGCAATATGCTAATAATATAGCCCGCCCACCAGTCTAGCTCTACGATCAACCAGTGATTTTCTCTTCTATCAAAACATTGAAAATGACGAAACATTTAAAATCACAGCTGTGGGTCAGTTCGTGTCCACACAAGCTCGTACACAAATATTTGATGAAAGCTTTTAAGCAACTCACTGGCAATGGAAGACTCTCTTGTTGCCCTCATGAATTACACGCTCGTGACGTCTCAGGCTGGAAGAAGTGCTGAACGTGCCTCCACAAATACGACAAGGGAACTTTGACAGCGCACACACAGACACAGAGGGGGAGATAAGATAAAGAAAGGTAATGAGTCTCAGTGAAATGTACTCCAGTGCAGACAGGAAATGAACAGCCTCCCTCAGTATGGGTGCTTCTTTGCCTGCTTTACCCTCGAGGATTGGATGTAATTTACCAAGCACGAAGTTCAATGAGCTAGTTAACCTGTTCAAAGTTGGTGCAGTAACTGTAATCACTGGCTTCAATGCAATCAGGTTTAAGTAAATGATGGAGGTAGTATGCTACACCTTGCCGTGCTCTGTCTTCACGTGACTCAGATAGTCTTCGTTGTCAGTGAAGGTGGACTGACACTGCGGGCAGGTCCACTCAGTCTGGGCGGGGGGTTGACTGCTGCCGCCCGCGGCGGTCGAGTTACCCCCTGGAGCTTCGTAGTCATCGTCCTCGTCGTCTTCGTCGTCGTCGTCTTCCTCCTCCTGTTCCCGCCCCCAGTCCTCTCCGTCGGAGTTGTCGGGTTTTCCGGAGGACTTCGATTTGGGGCCAGGGGGGCCGGATGCGTTGGTCGGGGCCGAGGCCGGGTTGGAGGCATCGGGCTGAGACTCTGTCGGTTTGGCTGACGGTCCTCTGTGAGCCGTCTGAGAGGTGAGGACAGTGACGTGTGAGAGAAGAGAGAGGCATACGGAGAATATGAAATAAATTATTTTACTTTTGAAAAATGCAAATAACTCAAACTGGCACACAAAAAGACAATCTGACTTACAAAAAAAAAAGTACTGTTCTTGGTATAGATTAGAACTTAGGACAAAGCAACCGGGGAGGAACTTTGCTAAAGCCAATCCAAGGAATTGCTGTGTGCCTTTGTTGACACAACATTCACAACACAAAGGCAGAACGACCATTTGCAGTGACCATTATAATATATTTATTCTTATACTTATACTTAGTATCTTAAATCTATGACCATTTGTACTCATTCACTCTACTCTGAACATATAAACACACCTTAATATGCTCCATCATTGATCCTTTCTGGGCGTAGAGCTTGGTGCAGTCGGGACACTTGAACACGTGCACTTTTTGCTTGGCTAAATGAGTGTCAAAGTGCATGTACAGCAAGGGTTTTTGGGTAAAAACCGTATCACACATCACACACTTGTAGATCATTCTGCAAAAGGACAAAAATACAGATATTTTAGGGATCTATTTACAAATGTATGGGCATCATTTTCAAACATCCTCTGAAGATATTTCTCCCACGAGAAAGATGTATCTCCTGTGAATTGTTTTGGTAGAAGTAAGTTACGTACTTGGCCTGTCCTCCAGTGAGTGTTGGGTGCTGGGTGCTGATGTGGCTCTGGGCGCTGGGGGAAGACTTGAAGGCCATGGGGCAGCTGGGGCACTTGTGGAAGACCTCGCAGTGAGCGGTCTGAATGTGGGACTTGATGGAGTTCAACCCTCCGAACACGACCTGGCAGCTCGAGCACCTGGACAAGATCATGGTACACAGTATGTCTTATTATGTCTCTAGCACAGAACCATTTCCTAATCCGTCTTGGATGTGTACACCCTAAAACATCCACTATAGACAGCACCTCAAATTACATTGGTAGATTGATTTTGTGCGTATTTGTCCTTAGTACCCAATAAAAGTAATTTGCAAAGTACCATATTTTCTCAAGTCTATAACAGCAGTTGTATAATTTGAAGATTCTTTACTTTCCTAAATTTAAAAAATAAATGAATACTAACCACAGGACAAACTTAAGTTCGTAAAGCATTGAAGCTTGCCCCACTAAGATTTATTAAAGTTGGCTTTTTCCCCCCCTAAAAAGGTCAATCTGAAATAAATAAATAA